TTTTTTTTTTTTTAATCAAAGTAGTCATGTTTAAGGAACATGAGGGAAAATAGGCAAAGAAGAAGTTAGAGAAAGTTAAAGAAAACCATTTCATTGAAAGATTATCTACGTGTTTTGTAGCATAAAGAGTTAAAAGAGGAGGAGGATGATACAAGGTTATTGAATTCTGTCATTAGGGTATGGTTAGTGGTCTTTTTATAAAACAAATTTATCAAGGTAAAATTAAATACAGTAAAATCCACTCATTTTAAGTATATAGGTCAACAACTTCTGATAAATATACACACCATTTAACTACCATCTTAAACAGGACATAAAAATTCTTACTTTTCTGGGAGGAGTCATCACAATGTCAGAAAAGATGGTCTCCAGCATCAGTGTCTCCCACAATCAACCAATTCACAACTATTAAAAAGCAAAGACTGCCAACCTGGGACTGCTGCAGCTCGGGGGAAGAGGAGAAGAGACCCACGAAGTTTGTGAAGGCAGAAGAAGCCTTGGTAAGAGGAAGAAGGGACCCTTCCAACTGTTTCAAGCTACAGCTGCCTCAGGGCTGGCCCTGTGAGGCAGTAAGAAGCTGCAGCACACACAGCACGAGCCAACAAAAGCCATAGCTGAGCCTTTTGAGTGAAGTTGCCTGGAGTCTGTGGGGAAGAGGGCCTTGGAGTACGCCTACCAATCCCCAAGCTAGCCAGACCACTGACAGTTCCTGTGGACCCACATAGGAGTGCAGGGCCACACAAGACTGAAGAAAGGAAATACCCAGTGGCCAGTGAGTCATTGTAAGGGACCTGTGCATGGCCTACCACACAGGAAGTACTTGGAGTACAGGGATTGGGAGGCAGGGAACTGAGCCACCTGGAGGATATTGGGGTGCAGTGAGAATAGATTTTCTGCCTTCCAGTTAGCACAGGCCCACTCAGTGGAGATTGGTCAGGGTCGTGGAACTACAGGGGGTGCAGTTTTGCTGGAAAGATTAAGTTTCAGGCCGGAATTTCCACACAGCTCAAGTGTATCTGAACTCAAAAGATCCAGAAGTGACTTTAAAGCTAACAATTAAAATCTAGTCAGCACTAACAGCCATCCCCAAAAAATCAGCTGCACAGGAAGAATTAATGCAGTCACACAGCTAAAGTGCTTGTTTTCAAAGGCAGTTCCACAATTTTGGAATTAACCAAAGGACAACATATTAATTACGGTGTAGAGTTTAAGTGGTGGTGGTAGCTAATATTCTAATGCAGAAGTGAAAGAAAGAAAGAAACCATAGATCAGGGACAAAGTTCTAATATTAGTCAGTAAATATCTAACACCACCAAAGAACACTTATAAAACCTAGAAGAGGTAACAGTCTCCTCAAGTGCCCAGGCATCAACGTAAAGACTCAAAGATCAAGAAAGAGTAAAGAAATATGACAACACCAAAGGAAACAAACCAAGCCCCAGCAATGAAGAAAGAGGAACAGCAGATTTATGAAATGTCTGACAGAGAATTCGGAATAACCCTCTTAAGAATGTTCAGAAGATACAAGAAAATACAGATAGAAAATTAAATGATATCTCAAAAATGATCCAGGAGCAGAATAAGAAATTTGATGAAGGAGTTCAATCAATCAGCAACAACAATGACAACGCTCTCCCCCAGAAATTCTAGAAATGAAGAATACATTACCTCAACTAAAAGTCTTGATAGAAAGCCCCAGTTGCAGACTTAATCAAACAGAGGAAGCAGTCAGTGAGCTCAAAGTCAGAACATATGAAATTATCAAATCAGAAAAGCAAAAAGAAAAAGTAAGAAAAAATAAAACAAATACAGCAAATATGGGAATTGTTGAGGTGAAATAACCTCTACATAACTGGCATACCTGAAGGAGAGGAAAAAGGAAAAGATGTAGAAAGCATGTTCAAGAAAATAATGACTGAAAATTTCCCAATTATGGNCCAGGAGCAGAATAAGAAATTTGATGAAGGAGTTCAATCAATCAGCAACAACAATGACAACGCTCTCCCCCAGAAATTCTAGAAATGAAGAATACATTACCTCAACTAAAAGTCTTGATAGAAAGCCCCAGTTGCAGACTTAATCAAACAGAGGAAGCAGTCAGTGAGCTCAAAGTCAGAACATATGAAATTA